AGTAAAATCTTGAACCTGCCCCAAGGCAGCCCTGCAACCTGCATCTGTGTAAATGTATTGATAGAATTGTTAGCTTCCTCAACCCCCTTTTCACTCTTATTGTATTAGGTTGGTGCAAAAATAATTGTGGTTTTGAACCATGAATTTTAAATCATTATAACTAGGCTCCAACACATCTTTATTAATCAATGTAGGAACCATTACAATCAACACATTTTTGCCAACAAGAAATAAGTTTGTTTATTCCCATAGCATAAAAATATGTGCTTTGGGATTCGACAAACTCTTGGAAAACATTTTCTGTATCCTGCTCGTTGTGGAAGCATTTTACCTGGAAAAAGTTGTCAAAATGCTCGAAGAAGTGATGGTTGGTGAGAGGTCAAGTGAATGTGGCGGATGAGGCAAAACTTTGTAGCCCAATTTGTTCAACTTTTGAAGCATTGGTTGTGCAATGTGCATTGTCATGGAGAAGAATTGGGCCCTTTCTGTTGACCAATGCTGGCTGCAGATGTTGCAGTTTTCAGTCAATCTCATCAATTTGCCAAGCATACTTCTCAGATGCAATGGTTTCACTGGGATTCAGAAAGCTGTAGTGGATCAGACCGGCAGCAGAACACCAAACAGTGACCATGACCTTTTCTTGGTGCAAGTTTGGGTTTGGAAAGTGCTTTGGAGCTTCTTCTCAGTTTGCTCACAGAACTGGTTGTCGCTGGTTGTTGTATAAAATCCACTTTTCACCGCACGTCACAATCCGATCAAGAAATGGTTCATTGTTGTTGCATACAATAAGAGAAGACAACACTTCAAAATGACAATTTTTTGATTTTTGGTCAGCTCATGAGGCACCCACTTATCGAGCTTTTTCACCTTTCCAATTTGCTTCAAATGCCAAATGACTGTAGAATGCTTGACGTGAGTTCTTTGACAACTTCTCATGTAGTTAAGTTTCAAAGATGCTTCTCAATTGGCTGTTGTCAACTTCTGATGGCCGGCCACTGCACTCCTCATCTTTAAGGCTCTCATCTCCTTTGCAAAACTTCTTGAACCACCACTGCACTGTATGTTAAAATGCGTTGTTGATGTTGCCAATTGTCTCCACTGCTTTACGACCCATTTTGAACTCAAATAACAAAATCACTCAAATTTCCTTTTTGTTTAACATCATTTCCATAGTCTAAAATAAATATGAAATAAACAGCAAGTAACAAGTCATTAGCAAAAAATAAAGCAAAAAATGTGCATTAAAATGATGTATAACATAAGCACATTTATTTAAGAATATATCCCAATAGCAAACAGCAAATTTCAACAGTGGTAAAACCGTGATTACTTTTGCACCAACCTAATATCTTCATGAGTATTTTAACGAGAAATTAAAAGGAACAACAAGCACTGCTAGTCTGATGCCACATTAACAGAAATGCAAATAATATTTAACTACAGTTATCAGAATTGCATGTATCATGTTGTTATTCTGGTCAATGTCCTTTTATATATTTATGAATATTTTTCATTTTTTGCCTTATTATGTATTTTTTGCCATACTTTACCTAAAAAGAACTATATTTTCTATTGGACATATAATATAAAATTTAAATATGTTTTGAAATTTTCTTTGCACCAAAA